AGAGAGCTGGGCACCTGGGTGGCTCACTTGGTTAAGTCTGCCTTCAGCTCAGGTCATAATCCCAGGGTCCTGGGATCAAGTTCCTCACCTGACTGCTTTCTCCCTCTGCCTGCCAGTCCTCCTGCTTGTGTGCATGCACTCTCTCTCTCTAATAAATAAAATCTTGGGGAAAAAAAGGATAACTCAGCCAATGATTGCCAAAACATTCTTTAGGAGACATCTAGCTCTTAGTTTATCTTAACAGCTGTCAAAGTTAAGACTGTGTGATGTTGGCAGAAGACAGTGGGTCAGGGGAAGAGACTAGAGAACTGGAAACATCTGTTTGATGTATGGAGAGGTGGCCTGTACATCAGGGGGGAAGGCTTAGTACTCTAAGTAATGGTTCTGAGGCGGCGAGCTCCCGGGTCACATCATTCACGGGATAAACCACAGGTTATCCACGTTGGACCTAAATGAGAAAGAAAGCCGGAAAGCTTAAATAATACAGGAGATAATCTTTGTGACCTCAGGATATGGAGGGGTTTTTTTGTTTTTGTCCGTTTGGCTTGTTTTTTTAAGCAGTTTGGGAAGGGAGGAGGTATTTTTAAAACAAACCACAGAGCCCTAATTCTAAAGGAAAAAAAAACCTGATAAATTTGACCATATTGAAATTAAGAAATATAAATGATACAGTAGAGTATACTTATTATATATCTAACCCATGGAAGACATATATTGCACATTTATAATAAATTGCTTCAAACCAGTAGGAAAATGACAGGCAACTCCATTGAAAAATGGTCAAAAGGTTTGAACAGGTATTTAAGAAATAAAGATCCAAGTGGTTAATAAACATTTTTCATTAATATCACGTGTGTGGTATAAACTGGTACAGTTGCTTTAGAAAACAGTTTGGCATGATCTACTAAAGTTGAAGATACACATGTTTGTGGCCCATTCCTGTCCCCAGGAATATTTTGCACAGAGACAAGTGTACGTGTGGGCCAGGAGATGTATCTAAGAAGGTTCATGCTATCTGTGTTACTTGAAGATTGTAAATGGCCCAGCTCTCCATGAACACCAGAATGGGTAAATGATTGTGGTGTGTTCATACATGGCATACAGTGCAACAATGAATGATAAACTCAGATGCAATAATGTGTTTGAATCCTACAAACCTTAATGTCAAGGTAAAGGAAACAAGACACAAAAGAATGCGTACAGAACGGCTCCATTAATACAAAGTTAAAAACCTCACAAAATTAAAGTATATTGTTCAGATTAGGGATGTGTACATGGGTGATAGAACTCTGAAGAAAGGCAGGGAAATGCTATACAAACTAGGACCTTTGTTTCCTTGACAGGAAGAAGGGGATAAGATTGAGAAGGGACACGTCCTGGCTGTGATTCAAAGGTGTTCTGTTTATAACTACTTAAGGCACATTTATGTATATTTAAGGCACATTTATGTTTTATGCCAAAGCAAATAAATTGCCAAAAATAAGAGATTGAAAGGTAAAAAACAACTCATTGAACCTGAGAGAAATTGAAGGGATTTCATTGAGGAAGGAATGCTCTAGATAAGTGACAAGAAAAGGCTAAAACTTCTAAAGTTTTCATTTTATAGGCTTTAAGATCTTTGAGGTATAATATATACAATAAGAGGCAGGGATCTTAACTGTTGCATTTGAAGAGTTGTAAGCGTTACACAAACACGGTACTTGCCTCCCCAAAGGATATACAGAACATTCCTGTCACCTTGGAGAGCTCCCTTCTTCCCAGCCAGTCCACCAGGAGGCAACCCACCTTCTGATTTCTGTCGCCATATATTAGCACTGCTGTTCTTGAACTTCTTGTAAATGGAACGATACCATGTATACTTTTTTGTATCTAACTTCGTTCTGGCAAAATTTATATATATATATTTATATATATTTACATATATGTAAACTTAGGTCAATACGTATATGCACATACGTATAAACATGTTAATATATACAAGTACATGTATGTATATATTTATATATGTAAGTATATAAATTCATATATATATATATATATATATACAAACTTGTCAATGTTATATGTGTCACTAGTTCTTTTGTATTGCTAAGTAGTTTTCCATTATATGAATATACCATAATTTATCCATTTTTCAGTGGATATTTGGTTAGTTTCCAGTTTAGTAGTAGCCATTAGTCTTTAAAATGTGTTGTTTAGTTTGACATTTATGGGAAGAAACTCATTAACATGCTAGGTTATTGAAGGGATTGGGCAAAGTATTGACAGAATTATAAACTTACTCTAGAACTAAAAACTGACAACACATTTGGGAATAAGATGACACTTTCAGAAACATTAAGGGTAGGCAGACAAACATAGTACCAGCTTTCCTCATGAGATAGGATGTGTGGTGTGGCTAAGAACATGGCCTTTATTGTTGGGTAAAAATCCTGGCTCTGCTGAAGTCTAACTGTATAATTTTGGCAAGTTACTCAACAACTCTGGGCCCTCTTTTCTCCTCTGTGTAAGAAGCGAGTAGTGCCTGCCTCACAGGAATGTAAGAATTCAGTAACATCTCTCCTGAGTGCTTAATTTAGTGCCGGATGGCATAGCGCATGTGCAGTAGTAACAGCTTGTTACTAATGGAATCAGTGGTGGATCTCATCAACTCGCCTCAGAGAAGGGTCATTTGGGGGTTGGTCTTTGCTGCATTACACCAGAACTGTCCAGGTGCTTCAAGAATTCGGGAGAGGACAGGGACTGTCCCCCTACCCCTGCCTCCCGCACCACCACTGTCTTTATCTGCCTGTAGATCCCTAGCTGTCCGGGTTGAAGGCAGAGTTCTGGGCTGCATTGTTTTGGGGCCAGCACACCCCCTGGGTAATGTGTGTGGGCAGTTGCTTCATTCCTTTCATCCATGCTTATTTGGCAAATCAGAATTGTTTCGAAATTTATTATATGACTTTGTAACAGAATATCTTTTCCCACAAAACCTAAGGATGATATTTCACTGGCCTTGTGGGATATTCATACCGATTTTATTTTGCTTTGAGGAGACACTTTAGAGATGTCATACTACAGAAAACAAAAAGATCTTTTATGTATACTCAAGAAGATCATGAAAGTGGCCAGAATGAGTAGAAAAGAAGAAACCTGCAGAAGACAGAGATCATTATTTTCTGGAGTACAGCAGTTAAAAGAATGGGCTGCGGAGCAGGACAGCCAGCCTCGTTATTGCTGCAAAACAAATTATCTCCAAAAACAGTGGTTTAAAACAAACAGCTATTACTTCATGGTTTCTGTGGGTCGAGAATCTGGGCAAGACATAATTGGGTGTGTCTGCCTCAGATCTCTCCCGATGCTCTGGTCTCATCTGAAGGTTGAAGTAGGCCAAGGTCCCCATTCTAGCTCACTCAGTCAAGTGGCTGCTGGTTGGAGGCCATCCTCAGTTCCTACCCCTGTGGGCCACTCCACAGGCTGGATCACAACGTGGCAGGTGGCTTCCATCCAGCTGAGCAAGCAGTGGGGGGGGGGTGAGAAAGGATGTGCACAGGCTTAGTCACCTCGTCTAAGGCGATATCCCTTTGCTGCTTTTGCCACATTGTGCTGGTTTGAAGCAGGTCATCACATCCAGCCCATGGGGAGCAGATTCTACTGGGGCATGAATCCCCAGAGGTGGGGACCACTGGGACCATTCTAGAGGCTGCCTCCTTCAATCTGCCCTTTGTTCCCCAATGGTTCCTGTTCCCCTAGCATTCAGAATACACTCACTCCCTCCCAAGATCCCCAAACTTCTTACCCTGTGACAACATCAGCTCCTGATTCTTGTCATCTGAATCAGGTCCAGGTGGGGATGAGGATTTTGAGGACAAATCTCTGTTACCTATTGCTGTATAACAAATGTCCCCCAAATTTGGAATCTTCAAGCAATAGACTTTCCTATCTTACAGGAGGGAAGGATCACCAGGGGCCATCCTGGAGGCTGCCTACCACCACTGTCTAGGTTAATGTCCTTATCCTGCCACATACTAGCTGTGTGCTCATGGGCAAGTCACTTCCTTTTATGTGCTTTTGGGGTGGTTTTTTTTTTTTTTTTAATTTATAAAATGAGGCTAATCATATTACTACCTAATAGGGATAATGTGATGATTAAGTGATATAATTTGTGAAGTAATTAGCATATTCCCTGGCAGATAGTAAATGCTCAATAAATGCTAGTCACTTGTAATTATTGCCACTAGAATTGTTACTATTTTTCCAAAGGAAAACTTGGTAAGCTTTCTCAGAATTACGAGAGAAAAGGATAAAATGGAAAGTAATGGATAGACCTTGAATACAAAAGGGAGGAATCCAATCTCAAACTGGTAGTGGTTCTTCAAGGAGTCCAAGGAGATCAGAGCACTAACAGTTAAGTTTAAAAAAACAAAACTACTAAACCAAAAGGATTTGATTAAAGCAGTGATTAAAGTATTTTTCGTGTCGCATGCACTGTTGGAATATTGCAATAAGGTAGGGAATTGGGGAGACAAAAAAAAAAACAAAAAAACAAAACCCTCAGGTAGTTTAGATAAGGCCCTGTAGGAATAACTGGATTGACCTGGAATCAGATCTGTCCAGTTTAGAAAGTCATGAAGAGAGCCTGTGAGCACATGGTCTGTATAGTGGCAACTGCTCAGGGGTTCATGGACAGCCTGTACTGGCTGTAGGCTGGAGCGGGATGCCCTTCTGAGCTGTACTGTGGCTAGCTTGAAAGGGAATGGGTCATTTACCTCCTCCGCCATGTCTCCCCATCTGTACCAGGTATAAAACAAAGGGGCCGGTTAGAAGGGTTTGAGAGCCTTCAAGCTAAAAACCAGAGTCAAGGTTAGGGTTACACCGTGCAGCCTGTGGACGGACGGGTTGAGTAAATGTGGTTGAGCTGTACCCACACTGAAGTGGGATTCCAGTTGTAAATGGAGTATGTCCTCCCCTGCCTGGCCTCCAGCCCTAATGTTGCTCCTTCTCATTCCTCATGGCAGGCCAAGTGCAGGAACATGGAGCACGCGCTGCGGGAAAAAGCCAAGGCCTTCTGGGCCATGAGGCGTTCCTACGAGGCCATTGCCAAGCACAATCAGGTGAGTGCTCTGGCTGGGCCGGGAGATGAGGGATACCTGGGGCCGTGGGGGAATTGGTGGGGGAAAGGCTAGGGTGGGCGGGCCCTGGCTGTGGCTGTTGACACAGAATCAGCCTTCTCTAACCCTGAGGATCTAGCGTAGTCCTGTCCTAGGTGACTGATTGTGGTGGCACTGCCGTGGCCTAAGTGGGTGGGCGTGGCCATGCCATCAGCTGTGAGAAGGGGGAACTTTAGCACGTGCTGCACTTGACCATCTACCCAGTTGCTCATGCCAACAATGACCTGGGGCTCTTTAGTTACTCCTCTTCCCCTCTTCCTCCCCGGGTCCTCTCCCTCAGCAGTCCTGGCCTAACTGAAAATACATCACGTCCACTGGACGCTCTGTTTCCCCTGCCACCCTCAGTATTGGATGTCTCCATTGTTCCTCACCTGGCCTCCTACTTGGGCCCCAGGCTTTCGCTCTTGTTCTGCAGTCCATCTCCACAGAGTGGACTGATTTTTCTGAAAAATACATGGATTGTATCACTCCTCTGCCTAAAACTGTCGAGAGGCTTCATCACCCTTGCAGTCCAGACTCCTCACTGTGGCCTCCAGGGCCCTCGTCCAACCCCTGCCTGGCCCTCGGCTTCATCTCCTCCCATGCTTGGCTCCAGCCACATTGGCCTTCTTTCTGTCCCTCCAGGGAACTACATCTTCTCAGATCCTCCCATAAGGAGCAGCTTGGCATTAAGATCTCTGTTCAGACATCCCTTGGGAGAAGTGTTCCCTGATCACCCTCCCCAAGTAATTCTCCGCTTTACTTGCACTCATGTCTCCCTGTTTTTGATTTCCTCAGAATACCTTGTTACCTGCAGTTAACATTTTTTACTTATTTTTTTATTTGCTTCCAATAGAATATAATGAAGGCTACACTACTATGTGAGAGAGTTCTTGGCTCACAGTAGGTGATCAATAAATGTTTGTAAATTGAGTGAAGGAGTTGTCTCCCTTCTTTCCCCACCCTCCTTGTTTATACATATCATCCTCTCTCCCTCTGAGTGCCGTGTGGATGGGCAGCTGGGTTTCCGTTGGGTTGTGCTGGCTTTGCTCTGTCACTCCCTGGGTGAGTGCTTCTGCTAAGTACTGCTCAACTAAGAGCCCCCACCCCCACCCCCAGCCTGGGCTGCCTGGCACTCCCCGCCTGTGCCCGTGTGCCCGTGGGAGGGGACCAGGCTCAGAAGGCGCCTCACTAATCTCTGGCCGTTGTCTGTCCCCTGAGCTGCAGAGCTGGTGGAACAGCAGAAGGAAAGATTGTGAAATGTTGGTGACCAGGGCAGTAACTGCAAAGCAGAACTGCTTTCAAAGCCAGACCCCAGTCTCCAGGCCCATCCCCACCCCCTCTAAGCTAATCCCTCCATCTATAAAAAGAGGACAATTCTGTCTTACTAGGAAGTTTATAAACATTCAGTTGGGATAATGCATGTGAAGTGCCCAACAGAGAAAAGCCCTTCACCATTTTCATGTTTTATGGACCATTGAACTGCTGTGAGCGGCGGTTTTCACTTTTTCAGTGAAACCTTATGTTACGTTGTCAGAGCCATTGCACCGTTGAGCTCCCGGTCCAGACACTTAGTGACTGGCTTCCGCATGGCAAGTTGCTTTACCTGCAGGCACTGTGGAATCATGGAGCTTCACCTCTGTCACTCGAGTTCCTTTTGTGGTCAGCCCTGTTCCCCTGGCTGGCCTTGTGCCCGACTGCGGTGGTGGTGCCTGGGGCATGTCTGTATGGCCAGGTGATGGCCCCTGTCTGCCCGGCCCAGGCACTGTGGCACTCTGACATGGCCCCATGTGAAGATTCCAGGGTTTCCAAGTGATCCCTGCTTTTCCCCTAAACCCAGTCAGTGCAGGTTGATGAGGGAAGTGAAGGCTTTGAGTGCCCCTTTGATGCGAGGTTCCAGATTGCCAGCAGGAAGGGTGGCTGAACTTGACTTTACGCTGGTGAGTTTTTGCTGCCTGCTGGTCTTTATCTTCCTGTGTGACAAAAATCATCCTGGATTTCACTGCCTCCCACCATGCACAATCAGTCTCTTGAGCCTGGTATTTCGACAGTGCCATCTCTTCTCATTTGAATCTCTTTGTTAGTTTGTACACTGTTTTACAAGTACAAAGCCATTTGTGTTTCTTCTGTGAGTGCTTTTTTTTTTTAATATCTGTCTTTTCCCTTGGTGGATTCGTAAGAGTGCTTTGTATGTTAAGAAGAAAAACAGTTACATGTTACATATATTTTTCCCAGTTTGTCATTTCTTTTCCAGTGAATCATTTTTACTTTTTTGGGGTCAGTTTCATTTTTTTCAGTGACTATTTTGTCATCACACTGTGAGAGCCGTGAACATATATTGAACTTTCAGTCCGAAGATGAGATTTGTGATTGCTACAGCACAGATTTTGAGTTGTTTTTCCATTGGTCCTCTTGGAATTGTATTTATGCATTTAACTTTATTAGTAGTCTCTTACCATTCAAAACTACTTCTGTTAATGTCTATTCAGTGATCACATTTTTCTTTGAGGCTTCTCAGTTTTGTTTCTTTTTTAAAAAGATTTTATTTATTTATTTGACTGAGAGAGGGAACACAAGCAGGGGGAGTAGGAGAGGGAGAAGTAGGCTTCCCGCTGAGCAGGGAGCTGGATGCAGGGCTTGATCCTAGGACCCTGGAAACATGACCTGAGCCAAAAGCAGGTGCTTAGCCAACTAAACCACCCAGGCGTACCACAGTTTCTCAGTTTTTTATTAGAAAAGGTCTTCTTCATTCCAAGATGAGTACTATTTCTCTGCTTTTTCTTTGAGTCCATTTATGGTTTTGTTTTAACTTTTAAAAAAAATTTCTTAACAAAAAATTATTTGATAGAGAGGGAATGAATGAGAAAGCATGAGTGGGGAGAGGGAGAGGCAGACTCCCTTTTGAGCAGGGAGCCCCGTGTGGGGCTCGATCCTGGGACCCTGGCATCATGACCTGAGCCGAAGGCAGATGCTTAACTAACTGAGCCACCCAGGCACCCCTGTTACAACTTTTTTTTTAAAGGTTTTTGTAGTTATGATTAGGGGTACACATATTGGGAATGATTCAGCTTTAAAATAAATACTTCTACTCTTCTTTTGGTAAGTCTCTGGATCAGACAGATTTGAAGTCCCGAGATGGGAAGGCAGATAATTGTTAAAAGTCGTTGTTATTTTCAACAGTTCATTTCTGTGATTCAGGATTTCCCTTGCTATGTTGCACAGAACCAAGGTACAGAATATTGTGTGTTGAAGATCTAGACAACAGGTGTCATCGATAAGCAGATTTGATTTGATTTTCTTAATTTATCGAGACAATCTCATTACGCTGTGTGACTTTAAACTTACAGATTTATGCTAATAAAACTGCATCTGTATGTTACCTGTTGGGGTTCTACCCCTGGTTTCTATTGATTAGAGAGATCCATTGCTTGAATCCTGAGAGCCCCGAGGCCACATGCTGCCTGAGAGGTTCCCTCTGAGCCTGAGCCTCCGTGGGCCCATCCTGCTCTGTGCTGTAGGTGGAGGCTGCCTGGCTGGAAGGGCGAATCCGGCAGGAGTTTGACAAACTCCGCGAGTTCCTGCGTGTGGAGGAGCAAGCCATCCTGGATGCCATGGCCGAGGAGGCGAGGCAGAAGCAGCGTCTGGTGGAGGAGAAGATGAAGCGGTTGGCGGAAGACACAGAAGCTCTAGCCCAGGAGATCGAGCGGCTGCAGGTGGAGATGAAGGAGGATGATGTTTCTTTTCTCATGGTGAGGGGTTCACCGTCTGGCTTCAGGGACAGCGGGCAGGTGTTGGGGAGCCCATGGGGAGCCGGAGACCACCGGCCCCCGCCACCCCCCCAGTCTTCCCGCAGTGTTGGGGTGCTGGGCTGGAGGAGTCCCCGGAGGAGGTACCCTGCCTGTCAGGAGGCCGAGGGGACTTTCAGCAGTGTGGACAGAGTTTCTGGGGGCCTTCTCGCTTCTTTCTGCCTCTCTCCTTTCCTTGTCCCTCTCCCTGCCTCTCGTACTCCTGCTCGCTCTCTCTCTGTTTCTTCTTTCTCTGCACCTCAGTACAGCTGAGTACCTTGTAAACAAGGTGGAAAAGTTGCAGAGGTAATGCTGGGTGCCCTGGAGACCTCTGGGTCCTCCCACTGTTAACACCGTGTATCACCTCCTGGCACATTTGTCCGTAGAAACCCGACCTTGGTGCATTATAATGAGCTAAACTCCAGACTTATTTAGAGCCCACCAGTTTTTGCATTAATATCCTCCTTCTGCTCCAGGATCCAGTCCAGGGACCCATATCGCACTTAGTTGTCCCATGCCCCAGTGTCCACTGGTCTGTGACAGTGTCTTACTCTTGTTTTTCATGACCTTGGCAGGCCTGAGGACTGCTGATCAGGTAGCCCGTAGACTCTTCTCTCAGTCTGGGTTTGCCTGATGTTTTGTTCATGATTAGATGGAGGTTATAGGATTTTAGAAAGAAGACAAACTAGAATATTCTAAAATTATACAATTATTTTAATTCTTAATTTAAATATGTTTTTATGTTCTCTGTTGCTCTCTTAAGAAAAGGATGACTCTATTCTCTCTTTTTAAACTTACATGTTTAGTTCATTTTCTTTTTTACTTTTTATGTTTCTCACACCTGTGCCCCCCTCTTGCCCCCTGCCCATGAGTCTTATGGAGATATGTCTGTAACTGGAAAGCTAGTTTGGAAATTGGAAATCAGTCAGGATAGTGAGCTATCTCCTTCACTTAGAGAACAGCTGAACTCTCTGGAAAGGGGAGAGTTTGTAGAGTGGATTGAGAAGGGACAGATACAGCCTGCATTCGGGCCAGCTGTCACATCCTGGCTGGTGACTCCTGTGGGTTTTCCGCCTCACATGAAGCTTTGAACCCTGGTGTCTCCTGTCTCCAAAATGCCCCTGATCATAAAATCATTTGGTGGGTTCTAAAAGCTGATTCTCTGCTGTTTCTGTTTAGGAAATTGGGAGCGGCCAGGACCCACTATGCTTTCAGGGATGCTTTTATGACTTTTTAAAAATAATATAACAGCTTTATTGAGATACAATTCTCACACTGTGTAATTCACTCACTTAAACTGTACAGTCCAGTGCTTTTTACTCTTTGTTCACAGAGTTGTGCATCCATTACCGTGATCAACTGTAGCACGTTTCATCTCCAGAAACACAAACCTCATACCCTTAAGCTGTTGCCTTCCTGTGCCTGGCCCCCTACCCCCCACCTGCCACCGTTAGCCCTCAGCAAATGCTGATTTCCTTTCTGCCTCTAAGGATTTGCCTTGTCTGGACACTTCTGTAAACGATTTCCATCAGTGGAATCTGATTGCAGCCCTTTTGTGACTGGCTCCTTTCACTCAGAATGTTTTGAAACTCCATCCTGTCGCAGTGTGTATCAGGCATGGCTGAGTAATATTCCCTTGTACGGATATATTATGTTTTATGTGTACATTCATCAATTGATGGACGTTTGGGTTGTTTTTCTGAGCTGTTACAAATCACACTGCCATAAACATGCATGTGCAAGTTTTTGTGTAGACACAGGTTTTCCTTTCTCTTGGGTATGTGCCTAGGAATAGAGTCACTGAATCACATGGTAACTAGTAAGTGTTACTGTTTGAGGAATTGCCACACAGCTTTTCAGGCGACTGCACTGGTGTTTATAGTCCCTGAGCAGTGGATGAGGACTAATTTCTCCCCATCCTTGCCAACACTGGCCTTTTTTTCTTTTTTCTTTTTTCTTTCTTTTTCTTTTTTATTTTTACTAGCCACTGCAGGGTGTGAAGTGGTATCTCATTGTGGTTTTAATTTTCATTTCTTCGATGGCTAATGCTGTTGAGCACCTTTTTGGGGACTTGTTGGCCATCTGTATATCTTTGGGGAACTGTGCATTCCAGCCCTGTGGCCATTTTTTAAATTGGGTTGCTTGTCATTTTGTTGTTGAATTACACGAGTTTTTATATATTCTGCATATTAGACCTTTATCAGATACATGATTTATAAATAGTTTCTCCCATTCTTTGGGTTATTTGTTATTGTTGGTAGCTTCCTTTGAAGTATAGAAGCTTTTCACTGTGATGGAGTCCAGATTAGCTGTGTTTTATTTCCTGTTTGTGCTTTTGGTGTCATGCCTAAGAAACCATAGCCTAATCCAAGGTTGTGAGTTTTATAGGCTTAGCTCCACAATTAAGGCTTTGAATTAATTTAAAAAATTTTTGTATATGGTGGAAGGTGGAAATCCCAGGTTCATTCTTTTGCATGTGGATATCAGGTTGTCCCAGCACCATTTGCCGAAGACCATTCTTCATCGAATGACCTTGGCACCCTATAGAAAACCAGTTGACAGTAAATATGAGGGTTTACTTCTCGACTTCCAGTGTCTTTCCTTATGTTAATACCACACTGTCTTGATTACTATTGCTTTTAATACATTTTGGAATCAGGAAATGTGAACCACCAACTTTGTTCTTGTCCCAGACAGTTTTGGCTATTCTGGGTTCCTAGAATTTCCATATGGATTTCAGGATCAGCTTGTCAGTGTCTGCAAAGAAGCCAGCTAGAATTTTGGTAGGAATTTTATTGACTCTGTAGATCTGTTTGGGGAGTTTTGCCATCTTAACAATGTTAAATCTTCTGATCCATGAACATGGGATATAGGACTCATTTTGAGGTCAGAAACTTATGTGTATATGTGGTTTTGTTTTGTTCTGTTTTTTTTTTCCCTGTATTTATGTCTCTGTCTTTTTTTCTCTGTTAGAAACACAAAAGCCGAAAACGCCGGTAAGTTGCCAAGGCTGGTGGAGGGGAGGGGAAGAGCAGGCAGAAATCCCAGGGGTGCCAGCCAGCTCCAGTGGCTCCAGGGCCAGGCAGGTAATGAAGCCAGCTGGGTGTAATACAGTGGGAGTGGGGGGACTGGCCAGGGTGAGAGAGCCCTCTTTCAAGGCCTTGCACTTGGATTGGCACTGGTGAGGTGTTGTTCTCCTGAGTGTGGAAAATGACCACCCACTATGCGGGGAGAAAATGTGTCATCCTGCACACTGCTTGTGTTTCTCAGTGGGTCCTCCCAACACCTAGGCTTATCTCTTGATTAGCCCCTACCTCCGAGAGCCTCAGCACACATTGGTTTCTGTTGATGTCTGTTGGGTTCACGGTGATGAACTGTATCCCAGTCAGAGCTGCACAAAGATGGAAGAGAATGTTTAGGAGAATAGTGAGTTTCCTGTTACTGGAGGTGTTCAAGCAAAGGCCAGTGTTACCTCCAGACATTGGGACTAGAGGACCCTTAAGGTCCCTTCTGCCTCAGACATCCCATGAGCAGATTCTGCCCACAAGGATGGGCCCTGTGTCTGAGAAGCTTCTATCCTATCTATATTTATCCAAGTGGGGCCAGGTCGGGCCTGCATTCTCAGTCCTAAGGAGCCGTGAGCTGCCTGGTTGGCCTCTGGCTCCTCTCCCATCAGAGCCCAGTCTAGGTCTGTCTTGGGTAGAGTGGCCAGGAATGAGCCCTGTTGCCTGTTTCCGGCTGACCTGGTTAGGCCCAGGATGCATGGCTCTGGCCCTGCCCACCTGGCCCAACTCTCCTTTCCCAGCCTCTTCTGCACCATGGAGCCGGAGCCTATGCAGCCGGGCATGCTCATCGACATCTGCAAGTATCTGGACTCCCTGCAGTACCGCGTCTGGCGGAAGATGGTCACCTCTGTAGAATCTGGTGAGTGGGCAGTGTGGACAGGGGTTCCAGACAGGGGCGGTACTTCCTACGAGCCTCGTTTCTCCCAGCTTTCCACCCCATCGGAGCTTCTCCAGCCCCTTTCACACACAGTTCCCTTGGTGCCCCACCGCTCAAGCTCTCCTGGCAGACCCCTTCCTCTTTGGGTCCTGACACTTGGCCACCTCTGCAGAAAGAGGAGCTGGCTGCCCTCTCTCTCCAGAACTGTATCATATGGATGACGAAAGCGCTGAGTGTTTCTGTCCCCTTCTAATTCATATGTTGAAGCCCTAACCTCTGATGTGATGGCATTCGGAGATGATGGGGGCCTTTGGGAGGTGATTGGGACCTGTGAGGTCACGAGTGTGGAGCCCCAGGATGTCAGTGCCTTGATGAGGAGAGGCACCAGAGAGCTGGCTTTCTCTGCCTCCCTCCCCTTTGTGAGGACACAGCAGGAAGGTGGCTGTCTGTGAGCCACGAAGAGGGCCTCACCAGAACCCAACCGTGCTGCACCCCGATCTCAGACTTTGGTCTCCAAAACTGTGGGAAAGACGTGTCTGTTGTTTGAGCCACTTAGTCTGTAGTATTTTTGTGTAGCAACCCAAGCTGACGGAGACCTCAGGATTTTAGAGGGAGAGCTGTCAGTGACCCAGAGGAATGTTACATGCTTCTCTCAGTCATCGAGGGAGTTGTGTGAGCACCGGGGTCCCTGCTTCTGTGGGTTTCCCTTGGCTGCCGTAACAAAGGACTGCATGCTGGAGCCCTACAGATGACCAATTTACTTGCTCACACTTCCAGAGGCTAGAAGTCCAAAATGAAGATGTCAGCAGGGCCATGCTTCCTCTGAATCCTATAGGGAAAGCCTTCTTTGCCATTTGCTAGCTTCTGGTGTTTACTGGCTGTCCTTGGCTGGTGGCTGTAGCCCCATGATCTTGGTCCCTGTCATCATCTGGCCTTCTCCCCTCACATGTCTGTGTCTGCTCACTCAACTCCTGTCTGATCTCATCTTAATCACGTCTGCGACCCCATTCCCACATAAGTGTGCCTTCCGAGGTACTGACAGTTAGGACCTCAGCCTCTTTTTTGGTGGGGCACAGCTCAACCCAAAACACGGCCTCTCAGTCCCACACAGCTCCCTCTGGGCGCTGGGGCCAGGTGGGACACAGTGGGTCACTTTGGGGGGAATGGAGGCACCGCTGGCATGGCAGAAGGGCGGCCCATGAGGTTTGCTGATTTTTCCCCACTTCTTGCCTCTGCTCTCAGTGCCTTTCAGCTTCGATCCCAACACCGCAGCCGGCTGGCTATCTGTGTCCGATGACCTCACCAGCGTCACCAACCATGGCTACCGAGTGCAGGTGGAGAACCCGGAGCGCTTCTCCTCCGCGCCCTGCCTGCTGGGCTCCTGCGTCTTCTCCCAGGGCTCCCACACCTGGGAGGTGGACCTGGGGGGGCTGCCAAGCTGGCGGGTGGGTGTGGTGCGGCTGCGCCAGGATGCTGGCGCTGAGGGCCACTCACATAGCTGCTACCACGACACCCGCTCGGGCTTCTGGTACGTGTGCCGCACACAGGGGGTGGATGGGGACCACTGCATGACCTCGGACCCAGCAACGTCGCCCTTGGTCCCGGCCATCCCTCGCCGCCTGCGTGTGGAGCTGGAGTGTGAGGAGGGCGAGCTGTCCTTCTACGATGCCGAGAGCCACTGCCACCTCTACACCTTCCACGCCCGCTTTGGGGAGGTGCGGCCCTACTTCTACCTGGGGGGTGCGCGGGGGGATGGCCCCCTTGAGCCTTTGCGCATCTGTCCCCTGCGCATCACCATCAGGGAGGAGCTGGATGGCTGAGGCCGACCAGGAGCCTGGCCGCTGCTGCCAGGGACTTGCGTGGTAGTCCTGTTTTCTTTCTGTCCCTCCCTCTCAAGCTGCTCTCACTTCCGTACCTCTGAACCGTCGGCCTACTTGCCAGGATCTTCCCTGCGGATCAGTCTTGTCCTCCTTCTGTAGCTCCAGGCCCCAAGCCGCCCCCTTCATTTCTGAAGGCATCCAGGGGACACCTCATTCCAGAGCCCTGGCACCTTCCGGGTGTGGATTTTCTAAACCCAAATTCCAAGATGTCTGAGGATAACACTGACTTCTATGGATGGGCCTGTTTTAACATGTGGGTCTTAGTATCTGGGTATGGTGAGGCCAGCAGACCTGGAGAGCCTACTGTGGGAAAGAGCTTGTTATTTACAGTTCCCAAGAAGCACCAGAGCCACTGAGGAGGCAGAGGGAGTTGAGGGAGCACGAGGTGGGAGACTTTGTTACGGTTTTAGTGACAAGAACAGGCTTGGCAGGGGCTCTGAGTAGACAGGTTTGGGATCTGCTAGTTGGAATAATTTTGGCAGGCTCTGGGGCGTAGGGGCCGCCCCCCAGTTGTTGGGGGTGATGGGACTGGGGGACTGGGGACGATCTGGAGAGGAAGCAGTGACCCTGCGGGATTAGAGTTCTGTGAGAGCCAGGTAAAGGAAGTGGTTGGGGGTATAGTGGTCGGTTTGCATATGAAAGGCGTGCTCCAAGTAGTTGGTTGCTCTCTCCGGAAATTGGCTAGGGCCAGAAAGAGCAGTTTCCCTGAGGTCAGAGTTTCTACAATTCAGATAAGAAAATCTGGTTCATACAGCACTGCTGCTGTGGCTTTGGAGCAGGCCCCGGGCCCCAAACTTGGCTGTCACTTTATACCAGTATGTTCAGACCTCTCCACAGAGTCCCCTCGCATCCCCCAGGGCAGAGGCAAGGCTGCCTGCAGGTCAGCTCTGATTTATCTGTTTACCTTTCTTGGACTATTTCCAAATAGTGACTATTTGGACTATTTCAGACGCGATTTTAAAAACGGCAGTTTAGACCCGTTCCTGCTATGGGCCTCCGTTTCCTCAGCTATAGATGAGATAGGAGGACTGGAAAATTACGTCCTATAGATGCTATGAAAGAAACAGCTCGGATTCATTCTTATAAAGTAATGAGAATGGAAGGAAAGAGGGGTCATTTCCAGTGAGGACGTAGGAAAGGGAGGAAACGGTCCTGGGGAGTGGTGGGGGGTCCCTCGCTTAGCCTTGCTGGCCGCAGCCTGCTCCTTGCTCTATTCCCCTGTGCGTTTTCACCCTGACTTCTTCTACCCCCGCCCTACCATGTCTATGGACCTCCACCTCCACCTCTTCTTCCTCGCATCTGCCTGAAGAGGATTTTTAATTGTCAGCCATCCCGCCCCAGGAAACAGCACAGTGAAAGGAAATACCGGCCTATAGGGGTGGCGGTGTTCTCATGGGGGCATGTTCCCATCCGGAGGGCTCATGTTCTTTTTGTCCTGTCTGTGCCCCAGGTTCACAGAAAAGGACATTTTAAACAGGACGATTCAAAACTGTGAGGCGATTTGATATGTGCAATTGGTAGGGGCCACAGGGAGGGACGCAGTAGGAGATGCCACCAGATGTGGGGTACCGGGTCAGAATGTTGGTAGACTGGTGTGCGCAGGTCCTGTCTGAAGGCACTCGGGCTCAGGGCGCTTTGGCGGCCAATATGTCTGAGACCAGTGTGCATTCTCTAAATATTTATCTAGCCCATCAAATACAATCTCTAGGATAATCCTGATCTGAAATTATTTTGTTAGTTACAATAAACTTTTTAAAAAGTTTTTTATTTCCAACTTAGATATTGGAAAGGGGTTTCTGAAGAGGATAATTTGGATAGCCTGGACCTCTTTTTTTAAAAAAATAAAAATGATATTTGAACTAAAACCCACTTTTTCTCTGGACATTTTCCTTTCCGTGTTCTTGTAAGCAAAAGTTCATCCATGACAAAGGTTCATCCAGGTTGCAGCATGTATGTGACCTTATTCCCTTTTATGATCAGGTACCATGCCATTGTGTGGACATACAACGTTTATTTATCCATTCTTCAGCTCATGGGCATTTACGTTGTTTCCATTTTTGGCCATTACAAATAATGTGTGGACGGATGTTTTGTGTGGATGTATGTTTGCCATTCTCTTTGGTATTTATCTTCCTAGGAGTGGGTTTGGTGGTGCATGCATGAAATCTGTTTAACCTTTGAGGAGCTGCTAGGCTGTTTTTCAAGGGAGCTGTGCCATCTTGTATTCTCATCAGAGGTGCACGAGGATTCCGTTGTTCCATATCCTTGTCCACACTTGTTATTCTCTTTCAGCCATCCTTAATGATATGATGGTGAAGTGATACCTCCTTGTGGTTTTGATTTGCATTTCCCTGATGACTGATGATACAGAGCATCTTTTCATGTGCTTGTTGCCATTTTTGTATCTTAGGAGAACTGCCTTTAGATCCTTTGCCCATATTTGAATGGGTTACTTGTCTTTGTATCATTGAGTATAAAAGTTCTTTATACATTTAAAATACGAGTCCCTTTTCAAATACATCATCTACAATTTTTTTTTTTCTCCCATTCTGTGGGTTGTCTTTTCACTTTCTTGGTGATGGCCTTTGAAACGCAAAAGTTGTTAACTTTGATGATGTCTAGTCTTATTTTTTCTCTTGTTACTGTACATCCTAGAAATCTCCTTCCCTTAAACCCAGGTACCTCAGTTTGGGGGTTTTGGCTCAGGAATGAGGCGATTCACTTGTTGACAGAGAGCCCTAGTGCACAAACATCCTCTGCTGTTGAACCCTCTCCCTCCCTTGCCTTCTACTTTCACTCGTCCCTGTGTCAGTCTCTTCCTTTTACTATAAACAGGCTGAAGACAGCAGTCCACTAGGCAGCCTCCCCTTCTCTCGCTTCTCTCACCTTCGGTCCATCTCGTGTGTTGATGCCAGAAGCGCCATCCTTCAGTCTTGCCTCTCACCCAGGTGACACCCCACTCCAACCTGCCCCAGGCCCTTTCTCCAGGGCGCAGTTAGGACCTCATTACTCAGCTCTGCCTTTGTTAACCTGGAGTTCCCGACCTTTACACACATGTAGCTCCTGCCAGCCCAGGCTTCTTGTGACATCTTCAGCCCACTGCCTGGCTTCACACAGCTGGCTGGGTCGGTCGGTTGGTTGATTTGTGTTTCAGCTGGCCATTTTAGCTGGAATGTCCTGGCATCTGTTAAGCTGCCAAGTCTGGTGTCATTGGCCCTACCACGCACGTGCTATGTCTCCTCAGGCACACACTTTACTTTCCTGAGCTCATGTCCTCATCTGTAAAAATGAGCATCATCCCCACCTCAGGGTGGTCCCACGGTGAGCACTTGGGGATGGCAGCCGCTGGAAGCGTGCTCGCCAACACCAGAGGAGCTAACCTAAGGTCCCCTGGTTGCTCTCCCTGGCTTCCTGTCCCTGCCATGTCAGCCACTGATTATTTTTAGGTCACGATGTTTTATTTAGTCACATTGGCCCTCTCCTTCCTTCCTTCCTTCCTTCCGCTAGTGGAGGATGAAATTTCTCTCAACAGAGTTTCATCATCCGTGTGTGTGGATCAAATAGTGGAAGTCTGTTACAACCCCCGTGGTTCGTGGAGTGGCCGTGCCAGGGTACTCGGCACAGAGTGACTGTCATTCTGGGCTTTTCCCAGCTCCTCGGAGTGATGTCTCAGAGCCGTTGGTGGCAGCTCTTGCCCCCTCTGCTGCCCCTTTCCTCCCAGACTGCCCAGACATCCCAGGCCCGCATGGACTTGTACGTCCCTGGGAGCCGCTTCCCATTGTTTCCTCGGCCCATAGGGCCTTTTGCCCTCCTTCATTTACCTTCAGTCATCCTGAGCTCCTTGCTACCTTCTGAGACCTGCCCAGGGCTTCCCTGGCTGCCGCCACATGTCAGGGTAACCAGGATCATTGGATGTGGACACTGGAGCTCAGGGAAGCTGTCCAGGACAGCTCCACATGGCTAGCAGCATCTTTTGGCCTGGCACCCGGAATCTAGGCTCCGGGATCCAAGTACCAACTGTGTGATTTCTTAGCTCTCCAAACATTTTGAACATGGCACTCTCATCTAAAATGAGGATTAGGGTATCTACTTCAGACTGTCGTGGAGATAAATTAGGTAATTTTGGAGGGTACAAACGCCATGTGTTCTATCCTAAACATAGGACAGCCCTAATATACATTGGCCAATTCTTCAGGAAGTGGGAGATTCTGAATGTTGGCATAATGATGTGCATCAATGAATCCCCAAAGAAATGGAGAAATACAACTTCTGGATCTTGGGAGTGCTCAAATGTCGTGAGATTTCTTAACGAGGATCTGTACATACAGGCTATAGGCTTAGGAAGAATTTCAGGACTGTGGGAAAATGGTTATATTGTGGTGACCAAGAAAAATAGGGTTCAGAGTTAGACATACAGACCTGCAACACCCACAAAAAGACCAGCAGGATCTTGTCTATAATTCGTGTGTATTGTTTTGAGTAGATAAATCATTTAATGGCTGTAAATTTCAAAGTACAAGATACTTGGAACGGTCTCCCACTTCTGCCCACATACTCCGCTCCTGTCCTGTGGACAATCCATATTACCATTAAAAAACAAAAATCCTCCCAGAGAAATTTAATGCATAGCACATGTTCTGTTCATGAGTATATTCTGGTTCCCCCACTATACTGCAGATCGGTATCCCTAAGCAGCCCAACCAAGAGGAGAATACTCAAAGGATGTTATTAAAGTAATTTTGTGTTGTCAAGGGGGAGGTATGCCTTGGCTGTTTTCATGCAGTCACCCTAACTGGTGGATTAGCCTTTCACTCGTGTTTACGTATTTCACGCTAGGTTTTAAAACGGGGAAACACTATGGAATGTAGATACTCCTGACATCAGAAAATAAACCTGAGACCTCGACATAATGTTTTCAAAATTTCAATTCTCACAAAGGTCTCTAGGGACCTAAATAGCCTAGTGGTCACCAGGTTGGGATGTGGGGTTGGACAACCTGATTCAAAGTGTGACCTATCCACTGTGTGACCTTGGGATAGTTACTTGACTTCTCTGTGCCTTAGCACCATCATGTGAAAAATAGAGATTATAAAATACCTTAAGGGCGCCGGGCTGGCCCATTCAGTAGAGTGTATGACTCTTGATCCTGGAGTTGTGAGTTCGAGCCCCTCATTGGGTGTAGCAATCACGTAAAAAGATAAAATCTTAAAAAAAAAAAAAAAAGATGCCTTAAGACAAATGGAGATCATAAGCCACCTCATAAGGTGGTTATGGGACTACAGGAGCAAATGTGTAAAAGGCTTCGGATAGGTCTGGCATGTGTTCCGAGGTGAGCGTTTTTTGTTGTTTCACCTGGTTCTGCCACTAAATCATTGTGAGACTTTAGAGAATACCATTCAACTGGTGTTCTGCAGGAAGGGAAACTGGGACACTTGCATAATTGTTTTCAAGGGCTTTTCCGATTCTAATGTCCTGTGATTCACAATCTGTGTCAGCAGAAGCCTAGTGTCCTGCACGTGGTAGAAACTGCTGCTGCAGGTGAAGTATTTAGGGACCAGGAGCTCTGCCTACGTTTCCAGTCAAGAGAAAGAGGACTAGAGTCATAATGTTGGAAGCATAATCAAGAAGGTTATTCCAGAGAGGGGGCAGTTCTTGAAAAATTGTTGCTACAGTAATAGTAATCAGTCCTGCACAACAAAACTACCGTCCCATCCCAGAGATGGCTCGCGTGCTTGACGATGTCAAGTACAGACTCACATCCACTGTGAGTGTGATCTTAGTGGTGGCGGAGCTGGTTGGATCCGGCACGAGATGACCGTCCCTGGTGGGGATTGTGGCATCTGCCTTCAGGGACTCTAAAAATGCAGCACACTGGCCTGTGCCGCCCTTCCCTTTGTCCAGCGACAGCTGGAGGACTGGGCAGGATGGTTTGAGCAATCGGATGGCTAATGCCTGATGCCCCAGGGCAGAGGGAAGCTTCCTTGCTCTGGATGCTCTTTGTCCTTGTTCGGGGGTGTTGTTTGGGTGGGATCGTTTTGCTAGGGAACAGCCTGAGGAAGATGGGAGATTCTGGTTACTATGGATACTGGGCTAGCTGGGATTTGCATAATGTATTTGAGAGAACAGACCTGGGAACAATGTGGACCCAGGAGGAACATAAAGGCACACAGAAATGGGAAGTCAAGCTCCATTTCAGCCCTCGTCCAGGA